CTAAAATTCGACCTTAAGAAACTAGAAAAGAACAAAGTAAATAGAAGATAGAAAATAGAAATAACAGAGTTAACAAAGTCTATAAACCCTAAAGTTGACTGATCTAGAAAAAAAGAGAAAGAACACAAATTACCAAAATCAGAAATGAAAAATGGGTTATCCATTAAAATAAGGGAATGTTGGGGCTGGCCCCGTGGCCGAGTAGTTAAGTTCGCGCTCCACTTCAGCGGCCCAGGGTTTCTCTGGTTGGGATCCTAGTGACGGACCTAGCACCTCTCATCAGGCCATGCTCAGGCAGCGTCCCACATAGCAGAACCACAAGGACCTACAACTAATATATATAACTATGTACCTCGGGGCTTTGGGGAGAAGAAGGAAAGACAAAAAGGAAAATTGGCAAAAGATGTTAGCTCAGGTGCCAGTCTTTTTAAAAAAAAAAAAAAAAAAAAGGGAATGTGATCTTTATGCCAATCAACTCGACACCTTAGATGAAATAGACATGTTCCTTCAAAAATATAACCTACTGAAAGATTAAATAGGAAATATTAATAGCTATATATCTGTTAAAGAAATTGAATCCATTATCAAAAATTTTTCCACAAAGAAAACTCCAGACCCAGATAGTTTCACTAGTGGTTGACTTCTCTCAAACATTTTTTTTTTTTAAAGATTTTATTTTTCCTTTTTCTCCCAAAAGCCCCCTAGTACATAGTTGGGGGTCCTTCTAGTTGTGGCATGTGGGACACCACCTCAGCATGGCTTGATGAGCAGTGCCATGTCTGCGCCCAGGATTTGAACCAGCAAAACCCTGGGCCGCCGCAGCAGAGCGCACGAACTTAACCACTTGGCCACAAGGCCAGTCCCCTCTCAAACATTTAAAGAGATAATGCCAATCTTAAACAAACTCTTGGAGAAAATAGAAGAGGAAGGAAAACTTCTCATTTTTTTTTTTAAATGTAGCCAGCAGAACTGATTCCAAAACCTGAGGCGACATTACCTACTCATCCCCCGAAAAGAAAACAAAATTACAGATCGATATCCCTCATGAACATAAAAGTAAAAATATCCTTAATGAAATATTCACAATATCTAAAAAAGATGAAACATCATGACCAAGTTGGGTTTAGCTCAGGAATGGACTATCAACAACATAAAGGAGAAAAGGCATATGATCATTTCATTAGATAGAGGGAAAAGCATCTGACAAAATTCATTTACAAAGAAAACCTAAGAATACTGAAAAATAGCTATTAGAAATAATAAGTCAATTTAACAAGGTCTTGGGATGCAAGGTCAGTATACAAAAAACTCTATTTTTATATATTAGCAAACAATTGGGAAATGAAATTAGAAAGAAAATCACACCATCAAAAAACATGGCACAAATAAATTTAACCAGAGTTGTGTACATTAAGTAATATACCATGTTTGTGATTAAATCAATATTGTTAAGATACCTGTTCTTTTCATACTGATTTGTGGATACAATGCACCACCAATTGTAAATCCACTAGGCTTTTCTCTTTTTTTTTTTAAGATTTTATTTTTTTCCTTTTTCTCCCCAAAGCCCCCCGGTACATAGTTGTATATTCTTCATTGTGGGTCCTTCTAGTTGTGGCATGTGGGACGCCGCCTCAGTGTGGTTTGATGAGCAGTGTCATGTCCGCGCCCAGGATTCAAACCAATGAAACACTGGGCCGCCTGCAGCAGAGCACGTGAACTTAACCACTCGGCCACAGGGCCAGCCCTAGGCTTTTCTTTTTTGTTAGAAATGAATAAGCTGATTCTGAAGTTCACATGGAAATGGAGAAGACTTAGAATATCCAGAACAGTCTCAGAAAAGAAGAGCAAAGTTTAAATTCTTATGCTAACCAGCTTTAGGCCTTACTATAAAGCCACAGTAATCACAGTATGGTAATGGCACAGAGATTAAAAAAAAAGATAATTGGAACAGAATAGAGAGCGCAGACTAGAACTTCACTTATACTGCCAATTAACTTTCGACAAAAAGCACCAAAGCAACCAGTGAAGAAAGGAAAGTCTTTTCAACAACCAGTGCTAGAAGAACTGGATATCCATATGGAAAAAAGCCAAATTTGGATTCTTACCTGATTCTATACACAAGAATTTGAGAGAGGTCGTACACACCTAAGTGTAAGAGCTAAACTATAAAGCTTCCAGAATAAAACATAGAGCTAAACTATAAAGCTTCCAGAATAAAACATAGAATATCTTTGCAACTTAGGTGTAGATAAAAATTTTTAGACAGGACAGAGGAAGCAATGAAAAGAAAAACAATTGGTAGATTACCCTTCATTAACATTCAACACTTCTGCTCATCAAGAGACACAATTAAGAAGAAAGTGGAAAGGCAAGCCATAGACCGGGAGAAAATATTTGCAAAACATATCTGGTAAAGAACTGGTATCCAGAATATAAGAAACTTCTATAACACAATAATAACAAGACCCCGCCTCCCCCCCCCCCCCAAAAAGGGCAAAACATTTGAGCAGACACTTCACAAAAGAATATACATAAATGGCCAATAAGCACATGAAAAATGCTCAACTTGAGTAGATATTAGGGAAAGGCAAATTAATATCCTGAGATACCACCTCACACCCACAAGAATGGCTAAAATTCCAAAGGTATATGAGACATTAGTGAGGATATAGAGCAATCAGAAATCTTACACATTGTTGGCGGAAGTATAAAATGGTGTGACCATTATATGAAATTCTAGAACAAGCTAAATTATGGTTTTAAAAAAATCGTCAGAACAGTGGTTGTCTGTGGGAGTTGAGGTTGGGGATGAACTGGGAAAGGGCATGGGAGGATTTTCACGGGAGGATGGTGATATTCTAAGTCTCGATAGGGCTTTGGACTACCCAGGTGTGTACGCGTTTGTCAAAACTCGTCAAGTGGTACACTTCAGGTTTGTGTATTTATTTCATTGTATATATTTTACCTGAAAAACTCACAAAGAAAAGGAGAATTCACTCACAGTTTTCTAGCAGTGGTGATATTAGTGTTGCAGGGATGTCCTTCTGCCTTCTGTGGTTGAGACCAACACCAGGTATTTGAGGTGAGAGGTTCCCATTTGGGTACTTCTCAGCTGGGAATTGGCAAGGCTTGCCTTAATGTGCCCTTAATATCAAGCTGCATCTACCCCTCTACAGGTGCCTCTACACTAAAAGGGCTCTTTTCTATGGCACTTTGAATTCAAACAAAATTAGCTCCAACTATCTTGGATAGTCCCTTAGAGTCAGCCATAATGGGATTCCAATTTCTCTCAGTTTCTTAAATAAGTCTCCAATGCACAATATGTAGATGGATGATGTAGACAGATGCTGGGCGCCACAGAGGCAAAACACGACTCCTACCCCGAGCAGCTTACACCCCGCACGCAGAGCTTTAGTAAAAGTAGACCAGAAAGCCAACTAAGGAACATCTTCACTATAAGTGAATTTCTTTAGAAATCGAATTGAGGTTTAATTACTAGGTAATACATGCTGTTGGTGAGTATAAAATGGTGCTGTTATATACCGTGTAGTTTTTAAACCTTTCACCTTTTTCTGTTAAAACTTATAAAACAACAGAACTTGATTAAATTCTATAATTCTTTAGGAAGCCTTTTATCACAGATTCATAAAAGCTATTTGTTTTTCTCTTTGAAGTCAAATTTGTTTTCTTTTAAACTAAATCGGCCTTTTCTACAAGTTTATCTAGTTTAATACAGATTATCTTGCAGTACCACTTAAGTTTAAAAAGCAATTAAAATGTAAATAACTCGTAGAATTGGTTTATTGGTTAGAATAAATGTCTTGGAGTTTATGTACAGATGTATGCTAGAAATCCAAGAGGAATTTACACGTTGATCTGAATAATAAGTGTGATAATTAGGAAGAAACAGAAGGAAAGACAGGGAACCAGAGAAACCTATTAGGACTGGACTTTGCAGTTAAGCAATATAGTATGCGTGTAAGCTCCTCCCTCAGCTGATTCAGTAAGTACCCCTCACCCTATCATTCGTAACTCATAGCGGAGAGGGCGCTGGCCTTGGTGTCCCCGGGCTTGCGTGCCAGTCCCGGTTGTCTTGGCCACCTGACCTTGTGCAGATCCAGTCTGTGCACCAGAGAGGTGATCAGTCCAAATGCTCAGCTTGTGTATTTTGTAGGGTTGTTCCTAAGAGTCAGTGAAAGGAGGTGTGACACTATAATAGAACTTTAACCTTATTCTTTGGAGCCTAAGGAGATGTTTATTCTGCTTTTGTTTACGCTGATAATGGAGTGTTTAAGTGCCTGAGCACCAGTTTAGGATTCTGGAGCAGTGATTTCCAAACCTGGGTTGTGCTAGGGGACTGTTTATATATAAGGGCTCAGAACTAACTAAAAATGCAAGATCTTTTTTTGGTTCTTAAGGGCAAACAATGTGTGCCATTTTTTGTTTTTACTTAATACAAAGGACTACTTACTAATAACTTATAAATTAATAGAAATAATACCCTAGCAAGAAATGGGGACACCTGCAGTACATGTTGTAAAGTGTCTCCTGGGCTTTTATACACATCGGTAATTGGAATTTGTGAAAATGATTGGGGAGCACGTGGGATCAGTACATGGTGTTGAGTTCTGATTTTTCAGGTACTGCTATTCTTCCTCTTTAATTATAAACTGTTGTAGTTTAATATTGTAATGGTTTCTTTAGTTAGCCCTAGGTGGACAGTATACTTTCTAGTAACTTGCTTAATCAGGGAATTGCTAAAGTATAATCTCCTAAATTTTGCTTACACGTTGACATTGAATTACTATCACTAAGTTTGTGCCCCTAACCCACTAGAAAGTGGGAAACTGATGAAATAAGGCACTTATTCCAAGTAATTGCAGAGGATGGAAAAAGTTGTCGAGCCACTGCTCTGTATAGGTTGTGAAAGCAGGATTAAATATGCCCTCAGAGGAGAAGATGAGGCAACATGAAGTAACAGAAAGGGTAGCACTCACCTGGGCGAGTCCTGTGAGCGATCCTTGTGAGCTTGTCCACTCTTCTAATGAATGGCTTGATCCCTTCTTCCTGGCTTCACTTCTTATGCAGACTCGTCAGACCCCTGCACAATTGAGAGGAAAGCCCGAAGAATTAGCGTGACCTCCAAAGTACAGGCGGACGTCCATGACACCCAGGCAGTAGCTGCAGATGGTTCGTACTTGTGTGTCCAGAGTTTTTGCAAAATGTCCAAAGACATGCTCTAACCCACAAAGAGTGACGTGTAAAGACCGACTTTTTCTTTAAAAAATTACTCTCTCTATTGAGTTTCTACGGCTGCATTGTCCCATAGAAGTGTAATACAAGCCACATACATTACTTAAAATTTTCTAGTGGCCAAATTAAAAATGTAAAAAAGAAAACAAATGAAATTAATTTTAATATCTTTAATCTAGTACAGTCGTGCCATTTAACAACAGGGATGCATTCTGAGAAATGTGTCATTAGGTGACTTCGTCATTGTGTGAACATCGTAGAATGTATTCACACAAACCTCTTAGATGCTATAGCCTGTTACACACCCAGGCTATATGGTACTAACCTTATGGAACCACCATCATATATTCAGTTCATCGTTGACCAAAACGTCATTATGCCGTGCATGACTGTATATATATATATGCAAGGTATTATAATTTCAATAAGAAGTCAATATAAAATTAGTAGTGAGATATTTTACATTCTTTATTTCATACTACATCTTTGAAATCTGATGTATATTTTACACTTACAGCACATCTCAATTCAGAGTGGCCACATTTCAAGTGGCCACCATATTGGACAGATCACTCTAAGATACTAGTATCTAGAAAGCAAGGCCAAGTAAATAATTTTAAAAACTTGAAAGCTCTGGACTTTATAACTTCTCGCTGAAGTTTTCTAATGCTTCTTGCACTTTATCCTGGGATTCAGTTGAAATAAGGTTTCTAAAAATATTATATATGTTTGAGTTTGTGCGAGTATTCTACTTGATATTTCTTAAATTCCCCTTAGTACAGAAACAATAATGATGGAAAGATCCCAACCTAAGAATAAGCCAAGAATGAAACTACATTATACTTCATATAATTAAAAAACAGATCCTTCCTCCTTTACCGTTGGCATATTTCCCATTATTGGAAAATTAACAGCTTTTCTATGAGTTTTTCATTTATCTTAGAAACTAGAAAATATTTAGAATTTTTGAAATTTTAGTTGCATCCTTTTGAGTAGTTTGTTTTCTATATTCTAATTACTATATAATATAAACAGTATTGATTAAACTGATAAATTGTTGATTTGTGATGTTTCTGAGGATGGTCATTTTAATGGAAATTTAGTCTATTGCAATTAATCCACTTAAAAATAGTCTTAAAGGGTATTATGTTAAGCGAAATAAGCCAGTCAGAGAAAGACGAACTCTATATGACTCCACTCATAGGTGGAAGTTCATATATTGACAAGGAGATCTGATCAGTGGTTACCAGGGAAAAGGGGGGGTGGGGGAGGGCAGAAAGGGGGAAGAGGTGTACCCACAACATGACTAACAATGTACAACTGAAATCTCACAAGGTTGTAATCTATCATAACATTAATAAAAAAAAAAAGTCTTAAAGGAAAAACCTATTTACTTCAGTTCTTATTTGTGTATAACTATGCGTATCCTTTTCAGTTTTTATTTTCCATGAGGCCTGAAATATCTTAATTTCTTAAGTATTCCATGAAACAGAAAAGATTTCTTACCTGTAAATCAGATGAAAGCAGACAGCCAAAACATCTTTCGGATTTTAGATGCTTCCCTTTAAACAGTACTTCCCTATGACGGAATGAACAGTGTCTTTTGTAAGGATCAACGATAACTCTAAATTAGATGCCTTTTAAATATATTTTTTGCTAAATTACTTCAGAGTGATTTATTCCAAATTAAAGCGTTATGGTGCTGAAGGGTAGCAGAATATGCCACCCTAGAATGTGCCTTTGGCCTTGGGATTGTTTTAAGAAACTGCAAGAGCAGCTCTGAAAACAGGATGAAGTTACCCTTTTGTAAGGGATATTTACATTTATAAAGACAATCTCCATTTTTAAGTGTCTCTCTGTACTTAGAGTCTTGTGACTCTGGATCACGAGAATCTTATCAGTGGAGAAAGGCACTGGCTTAAATCTACATAACAAACCTGACCCTTATTTACTGTGCTTTGCCTGTTAACCTCCCTTAACTGGCTCCTTCACCCCAACATCTTTCTTTTGTCTTTAGCTGAAGATGGTATTTAAGGTGATAGCTTGGGCCATCTGGGGGAGTTACTCAGTTTTCCTGGGTCTCTCCCGCGTATATGTGAGGTAGACGTGTTAATAAACTTTGTTTTTCTGTTATTAATCTGTCTTTTTACTACAGGGAGGGTCTCAGCCAAGAATTCAGAAAGGTAGAGGGAAAAATTTTTCCTCCCCTACAGTATTAAACAGTCAAGAGAATCCCTAGGTATCCTGGATTAGTTAGGTTCAAAGAGGTTTATCAGTTATGTGTGTAGTTTGGAAAAAAGAGGAGTGTGAAAAACCTTTTCGTATTAAACATTTGCATTGCCACAATCTAAAATTGAAGGCTGTTTGGAGTTAGCATAGACGGACAGAATGTAACCATTTAGTAGTTTAATATCTTAAGTTTTCCACCCTGTGATAAATACTTCATAACATAAAAAGTCGCCTGTCCTAGAAAAGTATTAAAGTGAGTTTTTAGAGCCTGTCTATTAAAAACCAACAGCAGTAAGATAAGGTTTTTTTTAAGTGTTCGGTTTTCGGAGCATTTTGTTCTTTTAAAGGGTAAAGACTACTATATGAGAAAGGATCTTTTCTGGAAATGGCACACAGAACATTTTTTCTGTAACAGAAAGCTTTAACAATATACATTTTATTCTTCCACGAGACAAAAAAGAAAACTGTTTTAAAAATCTGCATCTTTTTGGAGTTATGAGCCAAAAGATACAAGGTGGGTGATAAGGGCAGTTAAAAGCGTCAGTTGAGGCTGGAGAAACAAGTTCATCTCCTTTTTCTAGTCCTAGGAATAGGCTGAAGAACCCAGGAGTTTTTGGTTCTGTTATAAGGCCCAGATCACCTTCCTGGTTGAGCCCGAGCCGCCTTCTGCCTCCGTAAAGGTTCAGGGTCTAGAACTCACTTCTCTTTACCTCCTGGGAATGTTCACGCCAGCCATTTGGCATGAAAGACAAATTGATAAACCACAAGTCAGCTTATTAGTTTCCAGTGGAAGATGTGCTTAAGCCCCAATGGTAACTGCTGAAAGCGTCCCCAGATCTCAGTGCCTTTTGTCCCCTGCTTAGGAGGGCTGCTTACCTTAGATCGTAATCTCGTGTACAGTTCACAGTGAGCGTTTCCAGTGTTTTCACACGTATGTTTTCTGGCCTCCTGACCTTGCTCCAGATTCCAGGGCGAATTCCATCTGGAGGTCTTTAGCCTTTTAGTCACTGACCTCACCTTCAGTAGGGACTGTTCCTATAAGAGGATTTACTGATTAACCTAGAAGCAAAGAGCCTTTTTGAGCACAAGGCCAGAGAGAATGAGGACCTAGGAGGCATGTGAGATAAGTTTCAGGTTTTTAACATAAAATCCCAAGAACCAACATAAGGTTGCCAGGTATAGACATTTTTTAAAACTAAGATCTGAAGGACATTTTAATGCCAGAAAGGTAGGAAAGAATCTGAGAATAAAAGACCTTTTATTTTGAATTAATTTAGCTTTGTGAGAAACTAACTGTAGAGTCGTTATCTTTTTACCATTCTGGGAAAAACTTTGTTATGAAATGTCAGTGCCATTTATGAACCAGTATTATTAAAGCCATGCATATTGTGGAGCTGAAGATCTCCTGGGAGAAGGCCCACATTTAATATCGTACAGCTAGTACTATGCAGGGAAGACGCGGCAGGCTGAAGTTGTCAAGGACGACCCAGGCAGAATGTAACGTTTCTCATTTTTTTCGTTTGGCTGGAATGTAGCATAACTATCCACTATCTATGGATACTGAACTAGGAAAGTAATCTATGCTAGACTTGTATCTATCTTCTTAGAGCGAAAAAGAAAATTGTTCAGAACAAAGTAGAATACATATCATGAACTTCCTGTTTGGTTCTGCATTTCGAGTAGCTGTGTGTACTCATTGGCTTTCACATTAGGTAAGGCAGGAAACGACCTCCGGGGCTTTTTTTGGATAGTTTTTCATTTCAGTTTGGATTATACTTGGAAGAAATTCAGTCTATTTTCTCTCTCTCTCTTTTAATCCTAACTTCCCTCAGAGCATCTAACTGGCTCCAAACAGAGTCCTCGAACACAACCCCGAGATGAAGACTATGAAGGGGCCCCATGGAATTGTGACAGTTGCACCTTTCTGAACCACCCAGCACTAAATCGCTGTGAGCAGTGTGAGATGCCACGGTACACTTGAATTCAGAAGAGTCTGCACCAGGTTGAGAGTGAAGCTTTGAGCACCCATTAGAAGAAAAGAAAACCCCGGGAATCTGTTCAGCCTTTTCATTTCAGCTTCCGTGGTGGGGGGAGGAGGAACACTGTAGCTGCTTGTGCTCACTACAGGAGAAATGGGGAGGGTTTTTTTCCCTTTCTTAACTCACTGCAGAGTGAGAGATAGAAAAGGGTACTTGAAACTGGGAAAGGAGTCACTCCTGAAAGAACGTACACAGAGAAGCCTAGAGCTCTTCTGTGGAATCCCAATTGTTAAAGTTACTGCTGAGCGACCCTTATTTTATAAACTAGAACTCTGAATCACAGTGTGGCATGTTACAGTTGATGCAGACAAACTGTGAATTCCCAGAGCAGACTTACCTGGTCACAGCTCTCTGGAAAGCCAAGGCTCCCCGTGCTTCTTCCCGTTGCTTCCTGCTGAAGAGGAGGACAGGAAAAAGCACCCAGGATGGGGGTAGGGTTTTTTTGGGCAAAATTATAAGGCTATCTGTAATTGCTGCTTTTTTCGGGGGTAATTTCAAACACACAAACAAGATGTTTTACAATGTGATTTGTAGCAGTCAGGAATTAGGCATATGGTGCCCTTTGTTTGAGAGTACAATCAGAGGTGATAAGATCCCTTTTGCTTGTACAATGATTCATCAAGCTGTATCAACACTGGTAACTAAGACCTAATTACACCACATAATAGATAGATTTTTTAAGTTACTGCATGCTTTTATTAGGCCATTGGTTTTAAAAATAACAAACAAGTCCTTACAAAGTATGATTTTATGAAGGACCTTCTCGTAAAACTGCGCTTTGCCAATAGCACAGTGAATGTATGCCAAATATAAATCTATTCCAAAATCCATTTGGAAATCTTGATCTCAGCTGTGGTTCTATAAGAAATATTTGCAGTCCATAGGGCCTTTTTTTTCCCTCTTTCCAATTTGTGATAAATTCATGATGTTTACAGCACAGATAATACTTTGTGCCATAATCCTAACTTAGCTGAAAGAAAAATGTTATCTGTTCAATAAAGATTTATTTGCATGTATGTTAATAAACCAGCGTGAGGGAAATTGCACTTGGCCAATATCATAAAAGTTGCACACTGCATTATTTGGGGAGGAAGAGAAGGCTAGTCAAGAAATATGATTAAAAGAAAGGTGATGACAAAGGACTTTGAAAAAACTTAACAAACTGTATTCAGAGATAATATTGAGTTCATTCAGGTAGTTCAGGTGATAATAAAGCACTCCTTATTTATGAAACCAGAACTTTAGGGTGTGAATAACTGAAGAGATATAAAATCATATGACTCAATGGGTGCACCACTGGAAAATTATCAATAAGACATTTAATTAAGGTCTCTACCATGATTGAATTTCCTTCTTAGCTCAGAATTGGATTTTGGAATCTTGCCCTTATTTGGGTGAATACAGACAGCAACAAAATTGGTAGATTTTCTAATCCTAAAAGATTTCACCTGATAGAACCTTAGGAATAGCCACTCTCCCATACCAGGTGCCCCCAGTGTGCACACACGCACTCTTAAAGCTGTCCTTGTGTTCTAATTTAGCAGTCATCTCTGGCAGACCTGGAAAAACAAGCTGCACTTAATAGCAAAATGAAACCAAAGGCATAATAACTCATCAGTTTTCCATCAAAATTATAATTTCACACTCTACCTACAACTTTGAAGACGTTTTTTCCTATGTGGAAAATTCTCTAAAAAATATCCACTTGTCTCACAGTAAACGTGGCTATGTAATTACACTGATAAAACATCTCTCCTACAACAACTGTGGCAAAACTGTGAAAATCATGGTGAGAAAGCAGATGGGCTTAAAAGCATTAACCTGAAAACAGCATTCTTTAACAGCTTTTGTAACACTGGTGCCTGTCAGTCTCCCCTAACAGCTGTCAGTCCCGCTGTTCTTTCATATGCCAGTGCCTGTGCCTTTGTATGGTTTCATATCTCTTTAGTGATGGTCAACCCTACTGGTAGTAAGTAACCATTTAGGGGAATAATATATATACTGCTTGGTGTTCTAGCTAAAGGTTTACCAGTATTCTTAGTGATATGCTGAAGTGGCAGCAATTAACTTGGCAGTTGTCAGTTGAGAATGAAAGTAGCATGTATGAAAACAATCTGATGCTTTATTAAAACCATGTAGATGACTTTAAAACTATTGCATGACCATCCGTCCAGGTTACTGAGCTGTTATCATACAGTAGATGCATGGTTCCAGTCCTTTGGTGATATATCTAGTAAATCATTGTTTTCACCTGCCAGGAAAATGAGAAACCAGTCTGTTTGAAAGGTGTAGAGGGTGGGATATGAGACATCAGAGACTGATTTTAAGGAAGTTTTGTTATGTGTTCATTTCTGGTTGTGCACAAGTTTCATACGCCAACATAGGCTATGTTCAGTTTTTAAAATAAGCAAACTTATTTGACAGTGATAAATTTGGTATATTTAACTGTGTCCCATATATAGACTACTACTTGCCTGTGACCAGTTTGAATAAGAATTCAGTCACCTTTCAAGGTGCCTTTTCAGCAGGATCTCGCGGTCAGCCTGCTGTGACAGGCCATCGGCGTTTCAGTGGTAGGACATGCAGCGGCTGGCGCCCGCCTGCCAAGGCGCCTGTGCTCTTTGGATCAGTTGTTGTACATCTTGTTTCGAGTAAAAAGTTGTTTTCTTCAAATACGACTAGTTTGATGTATCTGGTAACACATAGACCTGACTCTACATTTTACGTCATTTCGCTGTTTTGGAAACTGGGTTTTTAGAAAGCACATTTGCCGTTTTGTTAAAGTACATTGCCCCTTAAATTTTGGAGTAGGTCTTAAATGTTTAAAGTGCTAATAGAGGAGCCAGAAACTTTCTGAACATTGTAAAATGTTTCGAATTGATAGTGACCTTGTTTGGGAGAGTGTGGAGGCAGGGGGTTTTAAAGAAACAAAAGAAATGCATTGTTAAAAAAAAAAAAAAAGGGTAGTTTTAGAGCAGATTTAATGATGGTGGGGAAAGTGTTGTTAATTTGTTTGTTTATTTCCCTGAAAGAAATGGGAAGTGTGACGAGCAGTTTAATAATTTTTAAGGAGCTGGTCTCAATTTAGTACTTTTTAATTATTAAAAGAAATAAATGTTTCCTTATATCTTGTCATTGCTTTTCCCAGTTATCTAGGGTTCATATCCAACTTTCTGTGGAAACTCAATTTTATATCGTATTTTGAAAGGTAATTGTAATGTCTTTGACAGTATATAAACAAAAGCAAGAATATAAGGCATAAAAAATGATGTATCCTGGAATGTGACGATGTCCCTTTATAGTTAAAGTTGATTTATTTTAATATTGTAATTATTGTTCAGACTTTGAATGAGTCCATGTTACAGTGTGTCTGTATATCTGTAGAGAAAGAAAAATGACAATTGAAATATTACTTTAAAAAATCAGAATAAATTGGGCACTGTCTGTGTTGCACCACTACTGTATCTGTTTGAAAGAATTAACAGTATTTTCTTATTGTAAAAGTTAATTCTGATGACGTTTTCACATTCACCAGACATGCATTTTTTTTTCTGTATTATTTGCATCCCCAAATATTTAATACGAGTAGATTTTGCATGGCTTGGGCATTCAGAGATTAATAGAATGATGACTGAATTTTAGTTTCTAAAGCCATGAAATATTGCTTTGAGACTGAACAATTCTGATTCTTATTTATAATGACACCCAATGTCCATGTTTCTCTACTGTAAAAGAATTGATCAGTTTCTTCATTAAAACAGCAAGAACTTATTAAATCTTGTAAATACCAGTCTCTTTCAGATTTCTGTGTATGCTGTGAATCAAATTATTTTGAGGTGAAATTGTACAAAGCATTTTAAAGGCTATGCATGCATCGTACCTCCAAACAGTACATATTCGGAAAGTCAGATTCCTGCAAAATAAATTAATAAACTAAAAGCAAACACTACATTCTGCATCTTTTCTGTGTAGTTAGAGATGATTTATAGTATCAAACCAGCCCTAGTTCCAACATTCATATTTCTGGACTGAAATATGCTGTCTCAGAAACCTAATCTTTCTGCTCCTCTCTTAGAACGTGTAGTAATGTTAGATTTGGGATATTTAGTGTATGTTAATTCAAAAATTGGGCAAAAGTATATTTAAACAAATTTTATATAAAGGTGGAATATGTTAGGAACTTAGATTTTTCATTCCACTTCAGTATGTTACTTACAAAAGAATGAGTAATTTTCTTTTTTATCTTTATATCATTTGTAGCTAGTTTTTCAGAGACAATCGCAGAGGTCCTGACCCTCATCTTGGTCTGTAGCCAACCTTCCCAACTTCTGCGCTGAAATCACCACAGGTGAATTATAGTCATAGGCTTTTCAGTGATTAAGCAAAGTCAAAATCATTTCCACTGCATTTTGTTAGTACAGTCGTGTACCGCCCAAGGACGCTTCAGTCAGCCACGGACCTCAGAGGATGGTGGTCCCGTGAGGTTAGTACCATGTGGCCCAGGTGTGTAGTAGGCTATTCCATCTAGGTTTGTGTCAGTACACTCTATGATGTTCGCACAACAGCAGAGTTGCCTGATGACACATTTCTCAGAACACATCCCCATCACTAAGCGATGCATGACTGCATATGAAAGTCTGCAAACATACACAAGTACAGAAGAATTAAAAATGCTCCCCCGCTGTCTCATTACCCAGCTTCCAAAATTATCCATGTATAAGCAATCTTACCACATCCATATTCTCATCCACTCCCTGACTATTTTGAAACAAATCCCAGACAT